AAAAAAAAAAAAAAAAAAAAAAAAAAAAGAAGATGATGTCCCCTTTCCCAATGAAGTTATCCTCAGGGTTGGGGACACTGTTTGGGGTTGATTATTACTTGTATAAGACAGAGAGTTGGGGTGAAAACTATGTAGGCTCAGAGATTTAAAAAAGTAAGAGGAAAAATTCATTGGGATAATAGATAATTTAGTGTGAACTTATTCAAACTAATAATAATAATAGTGGGTAATAGAGTAAATACTTGTGAGCTATTATTTATGGACAATTTACACTGGTATAATTTTTTGTATATTGATATAAGTTCAAATTATATGTTATTTCTGTTTACAATATTTGTACACCTATGCAAAGTTATTTTGTCAGATTGTATACATGCATGTTTCTATGTTTAAGACATTTTGTATACTGATACAATTTTTAGTATATACTTTCATATTGCATTATATATTCCTACCTCTGATCAACATACTTATACTTTGTTTACATTTTGAGGTCATTTTCCTCATTTACTGCACAGCTGTTTACAGATTATTTAATATTCTGATATGAAGTCTTAGTCTTTAAATTATACAGGTATTAAGTATTATAGGTCAATAGAACCCAGGACCTCTGGCAGCCTGGGGTTCGCTCTCTCTCTCTGTGGTTTCTGCACTACACAGGTGAGCTTTGACTTCTCATTCCTGTTTTGTGAGTTTGCCCCTTATAATAAAAAAAAAAACATATAATTGTTCTATCTTGTAGCTAGCCTGGTATTTCTGGACTCGAGATAATTCAACAGTATAGTGGCCTTGGATTTTTCTTTTCTTTTCTTTTTTGGTTTTTCAAGACAGGGTTTCTCTACAGCTTTGGAGCCTGTCCCGGAACTAGCTCTTGTAGATCAGGCTGGCCTCAAACTCACAGATATCCACCTGCCTCTGCTGGTATTAAAGTGCATGAGCTACCACCACCACCCAGATGGCTTTGGATATTTTAAAGCAGCTTTGAACTTTTGAACTTTAAAAGAAACTTCAGATATTTTAACTGAACTTTTTTTGTTTTGTTTTTTCAAGACAGGGTTCTCTGTGTAACATCTTTGGCTGTCATGGAACTCACTTTGTAGACCAAGCTGGCCTCAAACTCACATAGATCTCTGTGAGTTCGAGGCCAGCCTTGTTTCCAAAATGAGTTCCAGAATAGCCAGGGCTGTTAGACAGAGAAACCCTGTCTCAAGAAGAAAAAACAAAAACAAAAACAAAAACAAAAACAAAGTGGAAATGTTTTATATTGTGGTATTAGTATGAAATCTTAGGGATGAACAAGAAACAAAAGGTTATAGTTTAATAGTAATATGTTTATGTGTCAGGTTGACAAAGAGTCAATAATTATGTTTAGGTTTTTTGTTAACTTGACACAAGTTAGAGTCACCTGAGAGGTGAGAACCACAATAGAGAAAATGCCTCCATAATGTCAGCAAACCTATAGGGCATTTTCTTTTCTCTTCTTTTCTTTTTTAAGATTTATTTATTTATTATGTATACAATGTTCTGCCTGCATGTATGTATACCTGCAGGTCAGAAGAGGGCTCCAGATTTCATTACAGATGGTTGTGAGCCACCGCATGGTTGACAGGAATTAAACTCATGACCTTTGGAAGAGCAGGCAGTACTCTTAACCACTGAGCTATCTCTTTAGCCCAAGGGCATTTTATTAATTGATGATTGAAGGCCCAGTTCATTTGTGGATAGTGCCACTTCTGGGTGTGTGGTCCTGGGTATTAAGAAAACAAACTGAGCAAGCCAGGAGGGAACAAACTAATAAGAAGTGTTCCTCCATGGCTTTTGCTACAATTCCTACCTCTAGGATTATGCCTTGACTTCATTCTATGATGGACTGTGATAGGAACTTTAAGATAAAAATAAACCCTACTTCCCAGTTGATTTTGGTCGTGGTATTTTGGCCCAGCACTAAACACCTGAACTGAGACACAGACCATTTTGAGATATCAAAGGCAAACTTGTACACTGTAAGAACATTTAACAAAATTAAGGCATTATTGTTTATATTTTTTTTTTGTTTTTCGAGACAGGGTTTCTCTGTAGCTTTGGTGCCCGTCCCTATTGTTTATATTTTATGTGTGATAATGGTATTGTGGTTATAACTATAAAAGACGTTTCATTTTTCATCTGTATATCTCATCTTATCTGATATATGTAATTTTCTTCAAAATAATCTGATGAGATTGAAAATAAGAAGGTTAAAGCCAGGTGGTGGTGGAATCTACCTTTAATCCCAGCCCTCACTCTTCGAGTTTGAGGCCAGTCTGGTATATAGAGCAAGTTCCAGGACAGCTAAGGCAACACAGAGCAACTCTATCTCAAAAAAACAAAAAAGAAAGAAAAAAAGGAAAGGAGAATCAGGAAAAATATTGGCCTCTAACAGTTCTGTCTCCGGGTCAGTCTATTCTTTCAGGAAAGCTCAACCTGCTTGCCAACCCTAGGAACAGATCAACTCCTGGGTGACTGGCAACAAATTTTGGTAGAGCAATACAAGGGACTGTCAAAATGAAGCAGGTATTTCTATAAGAAAAGATGAACACGACTTATGTATACATGAGAAAAGAATTTGTAGTACTCAGTATGATACTGCTATACGAAAATTAACAACTATGTGCTATCTACTGAAAAAGTAGTTATTGCAAAGAGTACAGAACTTAAATATTTCAGTCTTAACCTGAATTACACATAAATGTGTTACATGTTTGTCAGCACAATACAAACTTTTAAGAACTTCATTTCGTTTCACTCTAATGCAGTAGGCACTAGAAAGGAAGAAAAGGGAAAGTAAAATTTTAAAGAAAATCTGAAAGTGGCAAAAGAATATGATCAGGCTACAGTAATAAATTAAGAGATTCACAAACCCATCCATTGGGCTGCAAGGTCTAGGCACAAGAGGTCTCTCTGAAACTCACAGTGAAGACCCGACACAGCACCTTTCTTGTACTAGGGCATCTGCTCACATTCCTTCCCTCATTACTGCCACCACCATTATACACAGAAGTGGGAAGGGGATATGTATGCACACACACATACACACACATATACATATAGCTATGGCACTGTCACTCTTCATTTCTGCTGTCTGACAAAGAAGAGATAAGACAGTCCTCTGGAGTCCCAGGACTCAAGACATAGACAACATATAGTCTGTTTGCTAAACAGATAGTTGATGGGATTAAACAATATGGTTAATATTAAAAAGAAAAAAGTCCTTATAATTTAGACACACCAGACTATTTACACAAGAAATTATGATGTCTGAGGTGTGTGTTTAAATTATCCAATGGTAATGGGTAAATGAGGTGAGCAGACAGATGCTGAACACAGCAGGAGGGACAAGCCACCATTATACTTCCCCTATTCATATCCACACTTTATTCTATTTATTTATTTTGGTTTTTTGAGACAGGGTTTCTCAGTGTAGCCCTAACTGTCCTGGAACTCGCTCTGTAAACTAGACTGGCCTTAAATTCACTCCTGAGTTCTGGGATAAAGGTGTGCACCACTACCACCTGGTTTCACATCAACATTTTAAATATAAGGTTAAACGTAAGTGTTGTGGAATATTATTTTAAGGTGTGTTATGTTTGTTTATGCTGTGGAATATTTGTTTAATGATGCAAAAATGTATTGCATTCTTTTATCTTGCATTTGTTTAACTCTGTGAAGCTGTGTTACTTTGCCTGTCTAAAACACCTGATTAGTCTAATAAAGAACTGAACAGCCAATAGCAAGACAGGAGAAAGGATAGGAAGAGCTGACAGGCAGAGAGAATAAATAGGAGAAGAGATCCAGAAGCAAGAAAAGAGGGGGAGAGAGGACACCAGGGGGGCCAACCATTCAGCTACACAGCAAGTCACAGAGTAAGAAGTAAAGAAAGGCATATAGAATAGAGAAAGATAAAAGCCCAGAGGAAAAGGTAGATGGGGTAAGTTAAGAAAAGCTGGTTAGAAGCAAGCCAAGCTAAGGCTGGGCAATCATAAGTAAGAATATGCCTCTGTGTGATTTATTTGGGAGCTGGGTGGCGGGTCCCCAAAGAGTAAGACCCAAAGAGCCAAAAGATTAAAACAACTAACTACAATAAGGTAGGAGGACAGTGTTACAGCTGAAATGCTAATTTGTTTTCCCACAGAAGTCCAATTCTAATTAATTAGTTAATCAGTGAGCTGAACATTATCTTTTGTTTACTTTGAAGCAATCAATCACTATTCTGACCACACAGACAGGCTACTCATAAAGACCTCAAAATGTAGATGTCTCCGGCCCCTCCATAGTGAAGGCATGTTATAGGACTTCATGTTGATCTGGGGCTTGCAAAGCACTCAGTAAGGACAAGAAGTACTGCTTATTCCAGAGCTGGCTACAAAACCTCTTTGGAAAGTCACTACGCTTAAACAACAGTTCACATATCAGCCACTTATACTGTTCATCTGTGGTCTGTTAAGCAAACAAAATACTGTCTCAAGAGCCTGGTGACAGTTTCACAGTGGCAGCAGTGATTGTCCAATGCATTTGGCTTCACATATCATTACCTGTTCAGTTTTCCTTGCAATAAGATTGCCAATGGTCTTGCTGAAAAAACTGGCAAGCAGTGGGTTGAGTGGTGGCTCCTGATCCAGGAAGTCATATAGAAGGTTCAGCAGACTCTCGTCCTCGCCTAGTCTGTCGCTGATCTGCGGCACATCACAAGTCAGAAGCTCACAGGCTGTGTTTGGATATCTAAAAGGGCACAGTTCAAGCACTGGAGGTGAAATTAGACTTCTCCAACTTTTAGGAAGCAGACACGTCATGGCTGGAGAGAGAGCTCAATGGTTAAGAGTATGTATTGCTCTTTCAGAAAACCTGAGTTCAACTCCCAGTGCCCATATCTGGTGGTGGAGCCACCTGTAACTAGCCTTTAGGTACCCACAAACATGGCACACTCTCATACAGACACACACATACACACAACTAAAAATAAACACACTTTTAAAGAAAGGAAGCAGATGATAAAGAGCAAATTACTAAACAGGCCTGTAGCAACTGGAATTTAATTACTGGAACTCAAAGTTCTTAACATATCTTTTATAGGCTACATCTATCCTGTTCTCTAATATTCTAAATTTTCTGACTCTACTTCCATTCTATAAATATCTTTTAATTTTTTTAAACAGGATTTCATGTAGCCTGGACTGGCCTCAAATTCACTACGTAGATGAGGACAGCTTTATCCTAGTGCCTTTACCTAAACCTGGGATTACAGGTGTGCACCAGCAGACCAGACTTAAATAATCTTTCTTTTTCTCCTGGATTATTTCTTCATGATCATCTGCCAGGCTTCTCCCTGTTGACTGTCAGTAAGGCTAAGTCATGTTCATGTTTCTCCTTAGGAAATTGCCTTTCCTCTTCTCCCTGCTTCCTGTGACTTCAAATTAGTAAGCACAGAGCAAAACTGCTCTACACTAAGAAATATCATGTCTGAAGCTATGAAACAGTATCATCAGTGAGACAGCATATAAGTAATTTACTACTAAGAAATGCTAGTATGGGGGCTGGAGAGGTGGCTCAGAGGTTAGGAGCACTAGCTGCTGCTCTTCCAGAGGTCCTGAGTTCAATTCCCAGCAAACACACAGTGGCTCACAAGCATCTGTAATGAGATTTGATACCCTCTTCTGGTGTGTAGGCATACACGCCAGCACACTGTATAAAGAATAAATAAATCTGGGGCTGGAGAGATGGCTCAGTGGTTAAGAGCATTGCCTGCTCTTCCAAAGGTCCTGAGTTCAATTCCCGGCAACCACACGGTGGCTCACAACCATCTGTAATGAGGTCTGGTGCCCTCTTCTGGCCTGCAGACATACACACAGACAGAATATTGAATACATAATAAATAAATAATTCATGGCCTCTTTAAAAAAAAAGAATAAATCTTCAAAAAAAAAAGAAATGCTAGTATGTGAAAATATACTCTTCATTTAATGAAAATGACTAGACAAGATAACCCTTCCTAGCCCATTCTATGTGATTCCATGCTATCACTGATTCTTCTTTAGCAGCTGGCCCACACAGGATAGAAGACAACTAACGCCCCCAGAAACAGTTCTGCACTGATTGTGGGTGCTCTCTCTCTCTCAGCCTGATAAAAAGGAGCAACCTTCAGAGCCATAACGAGCTTTCAGTCATGCAGACCCAGCAGGACTTGCAAGACAAGCGGGCCTTTGGACATGAGAACAGTATGGGCAGTGTTGAGGGCCCCATAGGCTGAGTGCGGGAGGGGCCTAAGGGTTAAGTCAGTTCTGGGATTGCTCCTTCCTGGCTAACCTCTCTGGTTTTCAATGTCTTTGCCTGTGAAGTGGGGCAGCCAGGGCCCCACCTCATGCAATGGCTCTAACCCCGCACAAGTGTTTAGTGTAGAGGATCATACATGACCAATTGAGGGCAGGGAGACCACAGAGAGCAGCATAAGAAGGTTAGGTCAGCAGCAGTGAAAGCCACAGTGATACTCTACCAGATACAACACGCTGGGACAGTGCAAGAAGTCAAATCCTATGGGGGAGGAAGCAAAGGAAAGACTGCGCTTTGAGGGCATTTTCACAGCAGGGAATAACCAACTTGTTCAACAGAGCAGATGGAGCTAAAAGGTACCAATTCTTTTCTTTTTCTCCTTTTTTTTAAGTCAGGGTCTTTCTACAAAGCCCTGGCTGTACTAGAAGTTACCATGCAAACCAGGCTAGCCTCAAACTCACAGAGATCCTCCTGTCTCTGCCTCTAAAGTGCTGAGAATAAAGGTGTGGCCACCACATCTATCCAAAAGAAAACAATTCTACATCTAAGTAGGGCTAGGGTTTTTCCTTTATACATACTTACTTTCTGACAAATAGGCACTGCTCTAGTAGTTTAAAAAACTTACAAAAAGAATAAGAATTTTACTTAAACGTGACAAATGACTCATGTGATCTTGTGGATATTCCCTCCTAAGATCCTATTCCAGTAATAGAGAGTTAGGAAGGCAGGAAGAGCAGCTGGCTGCAGAAACTCTGTAGTAGAGTGCCTGCCCAGTATCCAGCATGCAAGAGGCTCTAAATTAATCCCCAATGTCACATCTCAGGCATGGGATGGGGGAGAAGGGAAGAGGAAATGATTCTGCCTTAGACTAAGCCCAGGGAAAATGGACTCTCAGGTGCTCAGAGAGAAGTTAGGGTAAGGGCTCAAGCTACACAGTTCCAGAGATGTATGGCCAGTGTCCTGATTGCTAAGGGCAGGGTGGTCTGGAAACATCTTATGCTTGAGTTAGTTCGTTCTCAGGAAAAGTGAACAAGTCCTGTTACTAATTTAAGAATACTAAATAAAATGGAGAGATAATGGGATGCTGGCTAAAAATAGGAAACTTAGCAAAAAACAAGTTCCCAGCATGCTTACAGGCCTTCATCCCACAGGTAAGAACTAGAAGGAGGGGGTAGTGGCACACCTTTAATCCCAGCACTCAGGAGGCAGAGGAAGGAGGATCTTTATGAGTTCAAGGCCAGCCTGGTCTACAAGAGCTTGTTCCAGGACAGGCTCCATAGCTATAGCTACAGAGAAACCCTGTCTCAACCCCCCCC